ACTTATTAGCATTCTAAACCCACTACAATCAAATGGCTATATTGGTAAATCATCAAAGTGATACACTACGTATCCCTGGCATCAAATAATAGAAAATATACATTTTTTAGGTAAATAACATACTAACAGTATTGCTTATCATATTGAATATCATGCAGACAATGTAAATACGAGTTTTCTTTCAACATAAGCAAATGGCTTTATGACTGTTCTCGTCACTTGGTGGTGCTATGGGTCCATATCTAAAATATCACTAAAATCCAAAAAGGGCTTACTCTGTTATACATTTTCATAACAATTTCATTTTTGGTGTCTCCAGTTTTCTTGAAATGAACCATGATGAGTGATTGCAATGTGGAGTTGATACGCACTTTAGAAATTGCTTAGAGAGTTTTTGGTTAAGAGTTATCCTGTGTTCTCCAGGCAGGGTGTTTTATTGCTGCATTGTGTAATCTATCGGGCAGAAGGTTTATAAGACCCTGCTGTGTCCATGCTTGGACCCAAGCTAACTTCCTTTAGGGCAAAAAACTTGTCGAAATTTTAATCCTGTTTATGGCCTTTAGCTTCTTCTTCTTTTTCTTCTTCTTCTTCTTTTTCTTCTTCTTCTTCTTCTTCTTCTTCTTCTTCTTATTATTATTATTATTGTTATTATTATTGTTATTATTAGTCATAGTAGTATTATTTTGTTAAACCTAACACCACCCCTCCTCTTTAGAGGACCTATAGTACTTTGCTTTTAATAATGCATATTTCATGAATCTATGAGGTCTTCTTCCAAGAAGGAGGACATAGAGGAAGGAAGGAAGAGTGCGTGTGGGTGTGTTGTGTGCACGCGGGGGGTGTTTGTGGGCAGGCTAGCAATTATGTTGAGTGGTTGTGTATGTTTGAATAACGAAGAGAACTGAGTCTAGCAATTGGATTATTATTAAGTATTGGTAGCTTTTGGGGGGGTTATTGTTCTTGAATGGACAACATTAATTAATTGGGTTTGGAAAGTTATTGTTGTAGGAAGGTAATGAATGTTGATCAGGTCAAACTGAATTCATTGCATTTGTTTTTGATTGAGGTTGAAAGATGCTCCATTGATATATAATCTATTGTTGTTTATTTAAATAGCGATGATGTGAAGATGATGAAGAAGTCTCCGCTGACACCGTCTTGCTTGTATAAGATGTTTTATTATTACAAAGTAAAACAGTATCATATCAAGCACTATAAAGTACCTGAGAGAGGATCCGTGCCAATTCTAAAGTGTCCCCCTCCAGACCAATATATGCAGCTGCTTATATAGGGTGCTTGTTTTTGGGAACAGAACATATGGTCCTTTTTAGAATGATCTCATCTATTTGGAACTAACAGAAGAAGGGAGAGGGAGGCTCACTCCCTATGGGGCCTTTGGACCAGGGGCACCCTAACTTAAACATTCCAAACCTGCAAAAACAGAACACATAGAACTCCTAGATCCTACAACATCAACTTATACTGAATTATATTTTGCCTTCTTCTGTAAAATTGTTCTCTTCACATGTCTGTCTGATCTTTCCTGCTGAGTCTTTAATTGGATTGTTGTTTTTTTTTCTTTATTGCGTTTAATAATATTTGCTAAGAATTTTCCAGTTTTGTTGCTATATGGAAAATGTTCATGTCTGAATTGTTGTATCAAGAATTGTGTTTTCTAATTTGTAAGTTTATTGTATGGTAATTTGTGTTTACTTTATTTGTCATGGGTTTCAACTGTGGGGTTATCCACCATTTTATTCTCTAATTCCTCTTTTGTCTGTTCTAAATTAGATTCAAGCTCCATGTCTTTCTTTTTCTTGTAACAGCAGTAGGATATTATTTTTCCTCTTAGTTCTGCTTTCCTGGTTTCCCATAATAATGTAGCAGGAATTTCTGGAGAATCATTTAATTTTAGGAAAGATGCCCACTCTCTTTTGAAATGGTTTATAAATTCCTGGTCCTTTTGTAGGGATGTGTTACAACACCATCTAAAGCTTGGTTTAAGTGTATGTTTTAATTTTCATGTAAGCGAAACAGGAGCATGGTCACTGGTATTAATAAGGTGATACTTTATATTTGATATATTATGCATAATTGAATTGCCAATTAAAAGTCAATGCAAGAGTGTGAGCAGTGGACTGGTGAGTAAAAGGAAAATTCTTTAGAAGATGGGTTTTAAGACGTCAACCATCGCCAAGTCCAAAATCAGTCATGAATTGTTTAATTTTCTCTGTAGATTGCCACATTCTTGTATTGTGTAAGCAAGATGTTCTGTCTTAATGTGGGTCAAGGATGGTATGAAGATCACCATCAATAATGATAGGTGAGTCAGAAAGGCTGGAGAGGTATGTAAAAATGTGTGAAAAAAGCATGGATCATCGGCGTTAGGGCCATGTATATTTGCAGTGGTTGTAGGAGTGTTGTTGTTGTGATGTTAATGTTTATTGTAATAAATTGTCCTTCTGAATACATTATAGTGGTATTGTGTGTAAATGAGATTTTTATTTAGCAGGATAGATACACCTCCTTGTTTGGTGTTTGGTGGAATGAAGAGACAATGTGACAACTGTAGTGACCTTATTTTGTGATGGATGGATTTGGAAAGATAAGTCTGTTGTATTGAACGTACATTTGCTTTTAATTTAGTAAGTGCAGAGTCAGAATTTTTTTGTGTGTGAGCCAATACCGCATTGTAACATTCCAAGTTATAAAGTTTAGTGATCACAAATGAGTAAGTTGGATTTTGCAACATATATCGGTAATGTGGTGCTGCTGTGTAGGTCTGTGAGTGAGTGAATAGGTGTGGAAGTGTGCTAGTGGGTGTATGTAAATCTTAATGTATGTTGGATCATAATGTTTTGTTTTGTTCTTTTGTTTATTGTTTTTTTTTCCCTTTGTGTACTGTAGTGTTGTGTGAAAACATATGAACAAATCTCTGTGACACAAGACTAGAACAAGGATATGTAAACAACTAAAAAACCACCAAAAAACAAATGAAAAAAAAAAGAATGCTTTTTGTTTTAAACACATGAGGTAGCATTGGCACATTTGTGCATTCATTTTACCTTTTATCTTATAACTTGTAAGTGATTTGGTCATTTGTTACCTGGACTATTAATAGATCTTTGACAACAGTTGTGGTACCATCGCTTTTAAAAATAGCTAAAGTGAAACCTTGGCTAAAGAGAAATTATTTTGACCTCTCTGTTTTATCTAACTATAGGCCAATCACCAATTTACTTTTTCTGTCTAAAGTTTTGCAGGAGGTTGTAGCAAACCAGTTACAGACTTGAAATGTAATATGCTGTATGAAGTTGTTCAGTCTGGATATGGTACATTTCACAGTACTGAAACAGCACCAGTTTGAGTCGTTAACGATCTTTTATTGGCATCTGATTCAGATTTTCCCAGCCTGCTCATTTTACTTGATTTGAGTTCAGCCCTTAATACTGTTTTCCATGCTATTACTTTGTAGTGCATGCAGGCCATAGAGACTTCAGGTATTGTTTTAGACTGGTTCAGTTCCCAGGGGTTCAGGCCCCAGGGGGTCAGTAATGGGTGCAATCCTGTTCTTCATTGATATGATTCCTCTGGGCAGTATTTTTCACAAGCATATTATTTTTTAAATTGTTTTGCTCATGAAACACAAGTTTATTTTCAAACACAACATGCCTTATTTTACACAGCTAGGTGTCTGGTGATATACTTGGTTAAATGGGTATTTTTTTCCCTTTGCAATTGAATAGTATAAAATATGAGAAGATTCCTTTAGATATTTCTGGCCAGATTTGTCAGGCTGAATTTGACAATTTTGCTGTAAATAGTCATTCAGTGTCACTGTCTCCAGGTGAAGAATTTTAGGGTTATATTGGACCCTAGGTTGTCATTTGATTCCCCTATTACTTCTGTTTGTAAAAGTCATTTTACCATTTTCACATTATTTGCAAGGCTCAGGACATCTCTGACTCACTGTGATACTGAGACGTTGGATCATGCATTTGATACCTCACGGTTAGATCACTGTAATACCCTCATGTCTGGATTTCCAAATAGGAATATACAGAGAATGTGCTCAGAATTGTGCTGCACGTATTTTAAGCAAGACTTGAACACATCACTCCAGTTGTAGAAAATTTGCCTTGGTTACCCTTTAGAGAGAGAATTCATTTTTAAATTTTACGTTTGCTTTATAAATGTTTGCATTCCTAACTCAAGTATATTTGCTTTTACATCCCCTGATGCTACTGTTTCACTTGGGTCTGGATCCTTAAATCTGCTGGTAGTTCTAAGTTATGCTCCATAATATAATATACAAAATAACAAAATAACAAAAAAACATTTTAGTATCCTTATTATTATTATTATTATTATTATTATTATTATTATTATTATTAGCACACCTGCATCCGACATACCTGGTGACATCACCACAACTGATTTGTATTTGTAATATTCAGTAACTATTTGTTACTGAAATGCTGTCTATGGTTATTTTACTCACCAACTGAATGTGGGGCTTAGGACTCACAAAGCAGTTCATGCATAGGTGTCATAAAAACAAAAACATTGGTAAGAATCACAAAAAAACAAGATCACCTGGAAGATGCAATACTGCATAGTAGGTGTGTTAATGACTAGGGTATATGAAGTATCCATGATAAACTAGGTAATAAGTGTTGGTTTATTACATTAATTTCCAGTCAACACAACAGTTTTATAGATATTAAATAGAACAGCAGTGATCACCTTCTATACAAATAGTAAACAAATAATAAAATTAACATTTGTGAGTCATCAAAGATTCTTGAATAAGCTTTATTTTGGTCATGACAATATTTCAGGAGTCAGGTTGGTTGGTGGTTCTCACTGCTCTGGGAGAGTGGAGGTGCTTCATGGAGAGACCTGGTCCACAGTGTGTGATGCTGACTTTGACCAGCAGGATGCAGAGGTTGTGTGTCGAGAGCTGGGCTGTGGACTTCCTGTGGAGGTGCTGGGAGCAGCTGCTTTTGGTAGAGGGAAGGGTCAGGTGTGGTCAGAGGAGCTTCAGTGTAGAGGCAACGAATCTCAGATTTACTTCTGTCCAAAATCATCCTCACTCAAGCACAACTGCTCCCATGGCAATGATGTGGGTCTGGTGTGTGCTGGTAAGTGCTGTTTTTCTGCTTTGGTTGTTTGGTAGGACTGCATAATAACAATTGTCTATAATAATTCAAATTTTACTTCATAATTAATTAATTACGAACTACTCAGGTATTCAGTTTTTTTTTATAAATACTGAGTATATTATTGTTTAAGACATATGTAAGCTATTAATGCATAATTAACTAATCAAGAAGAAATCAGGGAGTTGTTATTCACTAGTTATGAACTAATTTTAACCTAATTATTATGAAGGAATGTAGTTTTTAAGAGTTCATTTTTAGTTATCTATAAATTGTCTATATGTGTTAACCCATGTGTATAAGGTGAATTTGATTATATATGCACACATGTATACTGTTATTAATGGTAATTATAAATAAATTGGGAATTCAGATGTCATTCATTATTACTGAATATACCATGCATTTACAAAAGACATCTATTGTGTTAATAAAATGTTGAATTTACATAATAAGCACTGGCATAGTAGTGGATAAACAAAACCCAGAGAATATTTCTAAATGAAATAGTACTATTAAAATTTTGCAACTTTTTGAAGGTGCATGTGTCTTCTGTATTTGCAACACATTTATGAAAAACAGTTCAGGTGTAGTCATGTTGATGAAAGTGTTTTCTGAGTTTGCAGCATATTAATGAGTTTGTAATGCTTTTTTTCACTGTACTGTGCACTGGGTTGTGTCAGGCACCATAAATAACTCTTAAATCCCTGATTATTTCATTATTTCTTAATTATAAAGTGTAGATAATAGGTCAAAACATCAATAGATAGATGGATGGATGGATGGATGGATGGATAGATAGATAGATAGATAGATAGATAGATAGATAGATAGATAGATAGATAGATAGATAGATAGATAACTTGTGAAGATACATTTTACAGTCACAAGCAAAAGAGGACCAAAACTTTACCAAAAGATTTACTAGTGAGAAACAACAACATTCCTGGTTTGTCACTTATTATTACTTAATTACATAGTAATAGCTCAGATGTGTCTTATAAAGTAAAGATTATATATTACTAAAGAATGGATAATTTTAAATATTTAAGTGGTTCATTATTAGTTAATTATGAAGGAAAAGCTAATAGATGTCTTTTACACCATAGTGATTATAAAGTGTTACCAACATTTTAACACATGTAAAACATTTTGTTGTAAAAATAAAAGGTTGTATATGGTGATTTCTGATTTGGTTTCACCATCTATCATCTTCAATTTCTGTTTTGTTAATTTCTCTGTCTCTCTTTAACTCACTCTCTCTCTGTCTCTTACAGACAGTGTGAGATTGGTAGATGGCGGTAGTCGCTGTGCTGGGAGAATGGAGGTTCTTCATAGAGAACAGTGGGGAACAGTGTGCATTCTTGGTTGGAACACAATAGCGGCTATGGTGATTTGTAAACAGCTGGACTGTGGGGAACCACTGGGTGTTGATGTTGCTGTACCAGGATCAGGACCGATCTGGATGAGTAACGTGGAGTGCAGTGGATCAGAGTCTACAGTGAAAAACTGTGGATCACTGGGATGGGGTGAACTGGGATGGGGCTGTGCTCATGAAGCAGATATTGAAGTCATCTGTTCAGGTATGCTGCAATCAGCCTTAACATAAAGTACTGCTGTTTAGAGCAAAGCTTTACCATCTTTGTCTGAACAATGATTTTGTTGCTGTTAAAACAAAACCTTGTATATCCATGTTTCTTACTTACATGATACATAAGTAAAAAAAAGCCAGTTGCTGTTTAAGCTGTCAAAAGTTAATTATAAATGGAGCAATAGAAAATTATGTAGTAATGATGTAAAAGATATTATCTTGTCAGCTTACACTGAGTTAAGGATATTTTTTCTTCTCCACTAAAGTTACTTTTTTGAGATATGAGGTTTTGTTGTACATGTAACAAGCTGTAAAAAAATCGGTGCAAAAGTCACCTGAGACAATTCTATTTGAAAAGCTATTGATCTGAACAGTAAGTGCTCAGAAAAAACAACAGTAGAATTATTCTACTACTCTAATAGTATTACTAGACTAGTAGTATTATTTGTAGTTATTGTCTAGTACCTGGTTTGTCTAAGTGACCACCAGAAAGCAGGTATTATTTGGGTGGTGCTGAAGTTTTTAAAGTGTCACTTCTGGACTGAGAATAGTCCATCAACCAAAAACACAGTGTTTAAATATTACAAAGTCCTTAAACTGAGCTGGAAGCTGCCCCTCCTTCTGGGTCATGCAAGGGTGGGGGACCCCCCAGGCTAGGGAGTAGTCTGCACTGAATGGAGTTGAGGAGAAGCATTGGGAAAAGAAGTCAAGCTCGGCAGGGGTTCCCTGTGCTCCACCAGCCACCCCACCCAGGATGGCTGATGCACCTGACTGCTCTGGTGCAGCTGCCAGGGTCTGAGATAGCTCTTCCCCAGCATGACCTCCCTGTGGTCTGATGCAGCTCCTGTGTGCGCTATGTCTATGCAATCTTGGAGCCACCAGGTTTACTTAGGGCCTGCTGGTTCTGGGGCAAAAGCTATAGATGGACTGAGGAACCCTAGACCTACTGAACATCCCCTCAACCAAGGTATTGATGAGGGTCCTGGCCTCTTGGTCTGGCAGAGCACAGAAGACTGGCCATTTGGTGAAATAATCCATAGCAGGCAACACAAATTGATTTCCCCCAGCAGTCCATGGAAATGTCCCTACTATGTGGACTCCAACCCACTGCATGGGCTCACCCACTGAAAACTGCTGCAACTGACCTTGGGACTGCCCTTGAGGTCCTTTGCATGCAGTACACAAGTCAGACCTTCTGCAAAACTCCTCTACATCCTGTCTCAGTAGAAACTCTGCTGGAGACAGTGAAGAGTAAAAGCATGGCTTTTAAAACTTCCTCCTACAGCCTCAAGGCATGACTATCTGCCATTTCTTCTCCCAAGTCACTGACTCAGTCCAGTCTCCTCTATTCAACTTCCTGTAATAAGAAGCTAGCCCTAAAAAGTTCTTCAGCTGCCTCTCAGGTACAAAGGTAGGACATGTAGTCCTTCTCCACCTATGCTGTGCAGTGCTTTGTGCAAAGTGGCTACAGCAGAGACAAATAAGCTTCCATGCTCTAGTACATTGTCCAAGAAGTCCAGACACTCTTGTTGTGGGACCCTGTTGCTGGCACATTGCAGAGCCTGAAAAAAAAAAACCTTGAAATGCCATAGCCCTCTGCCTGTGCAGAATGCTATTTTGGGTCTAGCCTCTGAGGACAGTGGGACCTGCGAGTACCTGCTTCTTAGGTCTAAGGATGAAAACTTGGATGACCCAACTAGATCTAAACATTCATCTACAAGACAAATGGGCTATGAATCTTCCTTTGTGACCTCATTGAACTTCCTGTAGTCTACACCAAAGCACCACTTATGGCTCATTGATGCCTGTGCGCTGCATTTTTTTCCAAGGTTTGGTCTGCAGCCTCCTGTTGGCCCAGGGGAAGATGTCAAGGCTGCTGCCATATTCATGTGGCCTCCCCAGGGTCAATGTTGTGCTGTACTAAGTGAATCTGCCCCAACTCCTCCTCCTCCAATGCAAAGCAATCCTGAAATTCCACTAAAATCTGCCACAGCATATCTTGCCGCTGGTTGTCCAACTCACCCACATTTTCTTTTTCAAGATTACCCTCATGGCTGTCATTTTATTTTCTCCTTTGTTAGGTGGGGCCGGAGTCTCTGATTTTTGTGCTTCTGGGGCAGAAAGAGCTCTTTTGGGTAAAAGGGTAAGCATTCTGCTGGCCATCACCCTCCCTGAGGTATTTTGGGAGCTGGAAACAGCATTGGGTGAGGACGCTGTGGGAGAAATGACTTCAATTGCCCTATAGTCTGCTGCAGGTCGCTTTTCTCTCTGGGTTACCTGTATATGGCGACGGAACTTCACACCCATCCATGCCAAACACCATGTGTCTTTGTGGGATCTCCCCCAGGATTTGGGGAAATACACCCCTGCTTCAAGACAGCTTGCTGCTTTCTTTCATCATCTTTGGGAGAGTGTACTTTTCCCCTGGGCTGTTGAGGCCAGCTCTTCGCAGTATCTTCTTGTCCCCCCCTTGCTTCCCTCCACTGCTTCAAAGCACCATTAGCCTTTTCAGCCAGGGGCCATGTTTGACCCTCACTCTGTTTCAGATGTCTTCGTCATCACTACATGCCCCCCTTTGAAGTGCGGCATGTGCGAGATCTATTTGGTACTTATTATTTTTCAACTGTCCCCTGACTGTCAGGGTCAGGCCTGCTCTTCACTGGCACTAACTCACCTGTCACAATACATAGGTGGACTGTCAACCCGCACAGGAACCACTTCAGGATGGGTCACCGTAATGGTCGACCCAGTATCCACCAATGCACTGTATGGGACTCCCTCAATGTGGATGGAAATATGTGTCAAACAGAGCCGTGGTCTGTGGTTTGTGGTGGTCGGCGCGGTGGTAGGTGTTCTGCCCGCAAACCCTTACCTCGAAATCTGTAACTGAGCGACAGATTCACAATTCTGGAAGAGTTGAAAGATGATTCTCCTTCTTCTCCTGTTCACACGGATACTCCTCCGTGGCCCCACACTGAGCAGCAGGCCTCATCGCCAGATTTTTGCGAGCACCGTGTGGCCTCCGCCACTGCCGGAGCAAGGGAGTGCTCCCTCTCCGCCCTGCAGGGAGGAACGTGGCCCTCACTGGATATTGTGGATCAGCAGCCTCGCTTGTCACCCTCTCTCAGGTGCCCCCACACAGTGCCCCGCCGCTCACATGTGCTGGGATTCACTACGCGTCTGACTTGCCCCTCCACTCCACAGGACCACTCTAACAGAGCAACTCGCCCTCCATCCACCTTGGTTGTAGGTGACTTCATTGTGAGAAATAAACACCATTCAGCAGTCCCTCTCAGGTGCCAAGGTCTCTGACATCACACAGCAGATCCCCAGCCTTCTTGATTAGTATCATTTTATTCAGAAAGTAATTATTCATGTTGGCTGCAATGATATAAGAGATCAGAGCACAGAGCTGCTAAAACGTGACTTTACATGGTTGTTCGCTTTTTTAAAAAACTGTGGCAGAACTTTTTTTATCTCTGGCCCAGTGGTTTAGCCACATTTTAAACCTCCACAGCTGGTTGCAAAAAACTTGTCTCTCCACCAGCATGTCTTTTATAGACAATTTTAACCTCTTGTGGAATTGTTCATCCTTTTACTGGAAAGATGGAATTCATCCAAGCAGCTTGGGTTCAAATGTTTTAGGGAACAATATTTTTTACTCTGTTTTTACTACAAACTGACTACTGGACTCCAGTATTGACTGTTTTAGCATTCTTGTGATTAGCACCCAAAGGAAGAATAGTAGCAGAAATGCTCAGTAGCAGAAATGCTCCTACAGTTAACATAAATAATCTCATCTATATAAAGCCTTCACCATCACCTCTTAGATCACATTCAGCTCCACAGGTCCCAGAATCTGAACGTCAGGTATAAACCCTGATATGTTTAAAAACAGAAGTGGACTAGGCTTAAATCATTTAAATATTAGAAGCCTCCTGCAGCAAGAACGACTAGACCAACTTAAGGTTCTGATTTTACAGACTGACCCGGATATCATGGCGCTTACAGAATCTTGGCTACGGAAGCATACAAGTGACTCTGAAGTGGCCTTGAATAACTATAGTTTGTAAACATAGATGTGACAGAGATTCAAGAGGTGGTGGTGTAGCAGTGTATGTCAAGTCATGTTTTACTACAACAGTTCTTGATGTCATCACTGTGAAAAACTGCTTTGAAATTTTAGCTCTGAAAATAACTGTGTGAGAAAACACCTCAGGCAATGTAATAGGGGAAGACCTTCATATGCCATTGTATTGCAGAGCTGTTAGCCAAGTACTGTAACTCAGAAGCATCATCATGGTGGTTTTAACTTAAACTGGCAAAGCAGTGCATCTGACCACCTGAAAGAACTGTGTGATGATCTTAATCTCTCACAACTGATCACTGATCCAACCAGGCCAAACTTAAAGGATCACTCCAAGTCAACCTTGATTGATCTAATTTTAACTAATAGGAGTGATACAATTACAGCATCAGGAGTCTTTGATCTAGGTTTTAGTGACCATTGCCCAATTATGTGCATCAGGAGCACTCGAATTAAAAAGTGTGGTTCTAGAATGGTGATCAGGAGAAATGTTTAATATTTTAATGAGCAGGCCTTTTACATGATTTTGCACTTAGTAATATTCACTACAGTTCTGAACTTCAGAATGTTGATACAGCACTTAGGCACTTCAGTACAACCTTTCTCTCTGTAGTCAACAAACATGCACCTTTTAAAAACTACAGAATTAAGGATAGATCAAGCCCCTGGTTCTCTAATGAAATATCGTTGCTCCTTAAGGCAAGAAATAATGCCTGGAAACTTGCTAGACAGACAGGGGAGGAATCCCTCTGATTAGGAAAGCTAAATCAGACTACTATTTGAATCTTATTTTTTGGCTCCCAGTCAAATTTTGGAAGGCTGTTAACTCAGTGAAAAATAAGCCCTTATCTTCTGTCCTACCTCACCTGCTCTCTATGTTGATTTATCCAAAGGTTTTGATACTGTTGATCATCCACTGCTGCTAGAAAGATTACACAGCATCGGCTTTGACCACAATGGTATTAAATGGTTTCAGAACTACCTTTCTGGTAGACGACAGCATGTTGCCCTGGGAAGCGTGATTCTAGTCTTCTTCCAGTCACTAAAGGGGTTCCTCAGGGTTCAGTTTTAGGCCCGGTGTTAATTTCAATTTATATTAATGATATTGATTTCACAGTGAAAGACTGTAAAGTACTACACATACACTTTAAAGTGTACTGCAAATTTAGCAAGGGTAGCCATTGAAAAACTGCAGTGCTCCTTTGACACCCTACAAGTCGCACTCCAAAGCCACAAATTAGCCCTAAATGCAGACAAAGTTTATGCTGTTTTCCAGACTGCTCATATTGAAAATATTGAAAATAACATTTTAAATGTTTTAACTATACATGGATTCATTATTGAAAAGTAAATTAGTATAAGTACATCGGCATCTGGCTTGATGAGAAACTTGATTTTAAAACTCAGTAAACTTTCAAATAAACTGAGGCAGAAGCTCAGATTCTTTTATAGACACAAATCTTGTTTTCCTATGCACAGCAGGAAAACCATTGTGGAGGCAACTGTCCTGTCTGTTCTTGATTACAGTGATGTGCTGTACAAAAATGCCTCAGCGAGCACTCTGAAAGCTCTGGACCCTCTTTATCACTCTGCTCTGAGATTCATTATGGGAGATCCATACAGGACTCATCACTGCATGTTATATGAGAGAGTGGGATAATCCTCTCTTTCTGTAAGAAGGGAAACACACTGGCTACTGTTTATCTATAAGGCTCTTGTTGGTCAGATGCCAGAGTATATTACCTCCATGCTCACTGTAAAGGATACACATTACAAAACCAGATGATTTTATTTCACTTGAGGTTCCCCGAGTTTTTGCTGAGCTGGGTAAAACTGCCTTTAGCTATGGTGCACCAGTGAGCTGGAACTCACTAAATGTTGAGTTCTTTGCTCAAGTCTTTTTGTAAACCTTTTATTTTTGTGCATGTTGAATAAAGATTTGATTACATTCCCAACAGGTCACAGAAAGTCCAGACTTACTGATGGTCCTCATTCATGCTCTGGGAGAGTGGAGGTGCTTCATGGAGAGACCTGGTCCACAGTGTGTGATGCTGACTTTGACCAGCAGGATGCAGAGGTTGTGTGCCGAGAGCTGGGCTGTGGGATTCCTGTGGAGGTGCTGGGAGCAGCTGCTTTTGGCAGAGGGGAGGGTCAGGTGTGGTCAGAGGAGCTCCAGTGTAGGGGCAACGAATCTGAGATTTCCCTTTGTCCAACATCATCTTCATTCCAACTCAACTGTACTCATGACAGTGATGTTGGACTAACTTGTTCTGGTTGAGTATAATATTTGAGATTTCCAATATTTTATATTAATTCCTTATGCTTCATGATACAAAAGCAGTTCTTGTGCCTGTGTTTCTGTTTACTTGCTGTTTTAATAAACTCTTTGTGTGTTCAGGTCACACTGGAGCTCGACTGGTGAACGGTTTGGACTGTTCTGGTCGAGTGGAGCTCCAGTACCTCAGTGAGTGGGGCACAGTGTGTGATGGAAGCTGGAATATGAAAGCTGCCAGTGTCCTCTGTGGTCAACTGAAGTGTGGGAGTGCTGTGGCTGTGTTGGGGTCAGACTGGTTTGGGGAGGGGAGTGGCCAGATCTGGGCTGATGTGTTTGATTGTCAGGGGAACGAAACACACCTGTCAAAATGTCCCATTTCATCATGGAGTCGAACTGCATGTTCTCATAAACAGGATGCTGGAGTCATCTGCAGTGGTGAGCTCTTAGAATCATGTACACTATGGTGTGCATTCAGAGTTGGTTACTCATGTCAGTTCAAATTTTGCATTAATAAATATACAAGAAAAAGTATTCATATTGAGACTCATGTTAGATGTGTGCCTAAACTAATTTTCTGAGTGGTGCATTCAGTTTATTGAAATTACATTAATGCGTCTAATGCCAGATTTTTCTTGGAGTCTAAACCTTTCTGTTTTAAACAAGCACTTTCTTTCCCAAATAAATTGAGCAATAGAAAATTGTTGCAAGTCCAAGAACCACCGAAATCAACAAAGGAAAACCAAGCTGTCTAGGTTGTAATCTAGTTCTTTTGGTCCTAACTATAACAATGACACACTGCCTCTTTGTGCTGCAGTTTAAAGAGAGACATATGCACAAGTGGTTAATTCTAGTTGGAAAACCTAACTAAGCTAACTCACTTGCAGTCTGAATCTATGAATCACCTGGAAAGAGGCCAGACCATAGTCATGAGCCCGTATTCATCCAGCTCAAGCTGTGTTCACAACATTGGTCAAGTTGAGAGCCAGGGAGGAGGCCATTGCTGTGTTTTTTTTTTTTATTTAGTTTATTTAAACTGATAAAACAGTCTAAATAACATTAAACAAAAAAGAATTGTATGGATATAGCCTATACAGATAAGAAGTAGGTAAGACAAGTGTGTCATACCATATTAATCACATTTATAAAAGTCTTGCAAAGACTGCTCATGCATTTTTGAATAATAGAATATGTGGTAACACCTCTTTTAAAACTTCTATATATAATGCATTATAAATGCATTTATAAAGTGTTTTGTGACATGGCATAAGCTTGTGTTATTACTCTTAAATAGTTGTAATTATATACATAACACTTCATAAAGCAAGGGTATATTGCTAAAGTTGGGGCATTTGGCAAAGTTTGGAAACATATGCTGCCATCCTGACAACGTCTTTTTCAGGGAAGGCCTTGATTATTTTAACAAGACAATGTCAAACCACATTCTGCATGTATTACAACAGCATTGTTCCATATTAATAGAGTCCGGTGCTAAACTGGCCTGCCTGCAGTCCAGGCTTGTCACCACTGGAAACATTTGGCAAATTACGAAATTAAAAATACAACAAAGGAGACCCGCGAAATGTTGAGCAGCTGAAATCCAATATTGAATAAGAATGAGAGAACATTTCACTTTCAAAACTACAGCAGTGTCTCCTCAGTTCCCAAACACTTACAGAAGGTTGTTAAAAGAAGAGGTGATGAAACACAATGGTAAACATGTCCCTGTCCCAACTTTTTTGAAACGTGTTGTTGGCATCAAATTCAAAATGGGCATATATTTTTCAAAAAACAACAAAATTTCTCAGTTTCAAAATGTGATATGTTGTCTTTGTAGTATGTTCTTTAAAAATATGGTTTACATGATTTGCACATCATTGCATCCTATTTTTATTTACATTCTGCACAGCATCCCAACTTTTTTGGAAATGGGGTTGTAAAATCACTGCACACAATCTAACACTTGATAGGGCTTTATATGTAAGGCCATTACAGGTTATAAATGAAGTAATTTTTCTTTTTTTAAATGTGCTGTTTTAAATGTGAAACAATTTTCACTTCAGTACATTACACTTTATGGAGCACTATAAACACTCTTTACATGTTTTTGGTGAAGTGAGATAATTGCATTCCAACTGGTAATGCAGAATACACAAAATTTGAAACTGTGTGTTTAGTATTACAAAGATAATTTAAAATAAATAAAAACAATTCTCTTTCTGTTTTCAATATTTAGAGAGAATGCCATTGACGGGTCTATCTTACGCACTAACAGATGTATATATAGCTGCTCTATCTGCCATTGCTTTGTTAGCCCCCTTTTACCCTGTTCTTCAGTGGTCAGGACTCCCATGGACCCTCACAGAGCAGGTACTATTTGGGTGGTGGATCATTCTCAGCACTGCAGTAACACTGACGTGGTGGTGGTGTGTTAGTGTGTGTTGTGCTGGTCTGAGTGGATCAGACACAGCAGTGCTGCTGGAGTTTTTAAACACCTCAGTGTGACTGCTGTGCTGAGAATAGTCCACCAACCATAAATATCCAGCCAACAGCGTCCTGTGGGCAGCATCCTGTGACCACTGATGAAGGACTAGAGGATGACCCACACAAACTGTGCAGCAGCAGATGAGCTGTTGTCTCTGACTTTACATCTACAAGGTGGACTGACAAGGTAAGAATATCTAATAGAGTGGACAGTGAGTGGACACAGTGTTTAAAAACTCCAGCAGCACTGCTGTGTCTGATCCACTCGTACCAGCACAACACACACTGACACACCACCACCACGTCAGTGTTACTGCACTGCTGAGAATGATCCACCACCCAAATAGTACCTGCTCTGTGAGGGTCCATGGGAGTCCTGACCACTGAAGAACAGGGTAAAAGGGGGCTAACAAAGTATGCAGAGAAACAGATGGACTACAGTCTGTAACTGTAGAACTACAAAGTGCACCTATATAGTAAGTGGAGCGGATAAAATGGACAATAAGCATAGAAACAAGGGTCATAATGTTATGTCTGATCGGTGTATATTCTTGTGTTATGCATATAACTATAACTGCTTGTAAGCAATTATACAAGCTTAGACTAGCAATTCTCAGAAATTATATATGCCATATAACACCTTATAAATGCATTTATAAAAGATTATGTATACAGGATTTATACCATTAACTGATCATTAATAGTTATAAACAAATCAATAACTGGAATTTGATAATGTACAAATGTACATGTTTCATACAGGAATGTACACAATAAAATGTTGAATTTATGATGTTTTACCTCATTCACTGATTCAGAAAAATCGGTGAATGAGGAAATGTGCAAATTATTGTTTCTTGGATGATTTATGTCTGCTGTGGTTTTAATCCTTCTGTCATCTAAATTACTAAATCAAAACAGTAATATCAACTGGAGAACAAAAAATCACTGATAACTCAGCATATTTTCTTTAGTCATTAACAGTAATTGCATGATATTACTAATACTTCATCATTAGCTAGCAGTATTTGTGCTCCTTAGTAAAGCGGTAGTCCTCCCAACAGTGATTACATGTAAATTCATTAACGATCATTGTGAAAGCATGAGTAATTAACAGGAATAATGTGTTATGAATACTTTGTCAGTAGTTACGGGGAAAGTAGCAATAATTTTCTTAATATTTACCATGTTTGTTAATGATTTGTTCCATGAGTAGTTAATATGGTCGTTTATAATCTGTTCCCAGTTACTACTATATTAGTTAATTTTAATTTTAGTAATCTGGCCACCCTATTAAAGTACTTTATCTGTTAACTATGGGAACAAGTAGATAGATAAAAATAGATAGATAAATAGAGTACTTTAAAAAGTAGATAGATAAAGTATCTATCTAAGTAATTCCTTCTCATGCTCGTTCATTAGTGATGAAACATAATGCATTATTGGTTTCAGACTGTTATTATATTTGTTCATGATTTGTTCATGCATAGTTATTAGGTTTTAGGGAACCATATCGTGTTACCAAATAATTTGTGTTTTACATTTGTGAGCAATAATTGCCAACATAACTTTAATATGCTGTTGACTTCTAGCATGAGCTGTTTGATGATTGACCCATGCTCGTAGTTGGATCACTAGCAACGGTATTTTATTTAATAGTATCTGGTTTGCTCAGCTACTTTCAAACAAAAGTTCATACAGTTCCTATCCTTAAACCTATATAATGGTCCTCCACTCATTTATCTCCAAAATGCTGACAGCATCAATGCAAATGCAGGACTTAACAAAAACAGATAAACAGTTAAAAAACACATTACGTCTCTAACTAGACACATCAGTGTGTTCAGCTGGAGCCAACACATTTTGGGTTACCATAAGATTAAATATGTCAAAATATTCCTGTGCTCAGTTACGGAAAACACATTGCGTGTCACTTTTAACACAGAAAGTCTTAAATCAGAAAACAATATGACACAAAAAATGTAAAACAGGTAACATGAGTGTGTTATTTTTAAGACATTGCTTTTTGAGTGTACTCACTTAATCACAGTCTCTTTCACGATCATTCCAGGAATCTCATCAAAAATGTAGCTCTCACTATCTCTCATCATTATGGACTACCATTATAAAAACATGTTCTTTTCCAGTTTCATCACGATATAATAATATTTTGTTTTAAAATGTACCTGCTTTGTTCGAGATATAGCAATTATGGCACTCTTTCTCTTAAGAGGGGCAGTTTGGAAAATGAAAAGGAATATAGTAGAACTTGATAAAATGTGCTTCTTTTGATTTACCCACTCTTGTAATGTCAATGTTGTAATTTTTGTTCACTTGCTATGGCCACCCAATGGCCAACCCATTTATACAGTCCTAAAATCACCACTGATGGCAAGTGGAAATTCAGTATTATCTCCTCACCATACATCCATAACTGAACTTTGAATGTGAGCCGGTGCTCTCCAAAAGAACAGTATGTTTCATTTACAATTATCTAAACTTCTTATGTTGTAAACAAAATGTAAAGTACTGTCAACAAAGCCTCACAAAGTCAGCAAAAATCAATTATATTTTGTGGTAAATGTTCCCTTCAGGTTCCTCTCTGGTGTTTCATGAGGGGCGAGTGCGGTTGTCTGGAGGGATGGAGTGTGAGGGGGAGGTGGAGGTATACTTCATGCAGGACTGGAGGAGAGTTCTGCTGGACTCCTGGAGTGAGTCTGAGGCCTCTGTGGTCTGCAGACAGCTGGGCTGTGGCTCTGTGTTCAGCTTCTTCAGCTCCTCTCCATCCAGTCCTGAACACAGTCACATGTGTGTGACGGGTTTCAATTGTTCTGGGAGTGAAGCTCATCTGGGGAACTGCAGCAGAGCACAAGCAGTCAACTGCAGCTCCAGAGAACAGCTCTCAATCACCTGCTCTGGTAGGAATTTTGGAATTATTTTGGAACACCTTAATATAACACACTGTAAAAAATATACATCATCGCAATCATTTCTGCAATTATCATCAGAATAACGTGTTACAATTGCAAAAGTTAGTAAATACTTGGAAAATACATACTAAATACCCATTTCTGGTGCATTAACACATTGATATACATACATGAAATGTAACTTAAATAGTAAAAAAATAATTCTTGATGTTTCAATTTTCATACAGTTGTTTAAACCAACAAATAAATCAACGAATGTTTTAATCTAGTGCAGTCACTGCTGTACGGGACCAAGTAAACATCAAGTAACATCATAACATTCCTCATATTGATATGTGCCACAAACTCATCTTTTAGCCAAGTACTTATTAAATACAACAAAAATCTGATAATACACATACATTTCCTTTCAATCCACCTCCTTTCAAGACATCATCTGGTACTTACAGAGGAAACTACAGGTATGTTAGCCTGATCTTTTAAAGGTGGGATGGTCAATATTCCAATTGTCTCACTATTACAAATAACCAGGCCACATATGTAGAACATGATGAAAAATCATTATTTACATAATGTCATCAACACAAGCGTAGTACATACGGAAAAATGTGTGTTGTGAAGCTGTCTTCCAGCTATCAATGCATACATGCTAATAGGCTAGATATGGTTGAAGTCGCCTGAGGAAAAACAAATCTAATTGCAACTTAAATCCAAGTTTATTTTTGGCATAGAAGTGGTGCCATTTATACACAATAAATTATTTGTGTTGTTTCTACAGTATTATTAATCTATTTTCTACAGTGTTTCATTGTTTTCACACATTACTGCGTAAATACTTTACTGTGTATCTAAAAATAGTATTAATTCCTTACTGTACATCTGAATACAACAATATTAACTGACAGTTAAAAAATAGCTCTGATAAAAAGTGGATGTAAATAGCTTAACTAAATCTAGTTTTACCATACAGCATTTCTTTAATCAGCTTTTTCAACAGGAAACCGACTTAGCTAATGGTATTCATCAACTCAGTAGTTTCTAGCAGAATAACAGTGTTGCAGTTTTACTTTATATTTTTATTGAATATGTGAGGGCTTGTCCTTCTGTAAAGCATATCATCTTGCAAATGTCCAGGACATTGCGTCTCATACTCAAGCCTCAGCATTTTATATTGGGTAACTGCCAACTGGTGAAACAGAACATTTTAGTCTTGCCCTCAAAATTGAAGTGATGTACACAGTAATGATGTACACTGTAATGTGTGTTGTCAGTCCATAGAGATAATATCAAAATGTATCAAATATGTCAAAGAACACAAGGAATCCTGCCAACATGTTGTGGGATTTCACATGCGCTTATAATTTTGCTGCCATTACCTTACAATCCCACATCTATCAGCTATTCAAAGCTTACATTTCCTAAGCTTAAATGGCTCAGAGGTCAATATGTCATGCTAGATTCAGGTTTTTACCTTTATTTTTACATCTGTATCAAGATTATGGCAGTGTATAATTTCATAATACAGATGGCAAGAAAACTGGATGCCTTTTTAAAAACTGCAAAAATAATTTAAAATTGCATATGTAAACCAGGAATGACTGTTTGCCAAAATTGTAACTAACTTGACTTAACTTTACCAAATTTCTCTTCTTTTTCTCTTTTGTTCCTACTTTTTGTAGGGAATTGGTGATTGGCACTGTTTTTTTAACATGAAGCTATATTCACATTATATGCTTTATTGCTTCATAATGATTCCTGTTCGATCATTCTACCTTGAAGGTTTATATTCATGACCCATATCTGTCATTGGTGTGAAAATATATTGGCCCTTAAAGGAAAGTATGCACACATTTTCCAAATAGATATGAAAATGCCTTGAAACCTTGAAAAGCAGCTTTAACCTTGTACCGTTAGAGTGGGCAGATGGGACTCATTAGCTTGAGAATGCAGCCCACCTAAGAGAAGGAAATCTCTGATTTTAAACCTTCTTTGCCTTGCGGAGTCCCTCAGTTTTGGAGTTGTTATCAACCTCGCTCTGGAAAACACCAGAAATGACACTGTGTGTCTACACCAGACAGAACAAAAGAAAAATGAAAATGTCCAGCCCTCAAGCCAGGCTCTTGGAATGTAAGGACCATGATGTAAGATGTGAGTGACACTCGCAAGACCCCAAAGTTTGCCTTGCCTACCCGACACTGACATCAGTTCCTATGGGACACCATACTGCAATGTCCACCTTTCGTAGGAAGTGCACTGGTTCGAAGCCCACTGATGTCCCTTGACTGGAAAGAAGAGGTTCTCTCCCAGTGAGAAGAACTTGCAAGTACTCCAGTCTGCTCAGAGCCTCATGCAGTGGGCTCCCAGGCAGTGTGTCAGTGATTACTGGCCCCAACTCTGCTCCAAGATCCAGGAGGATTTGAACACTGGTAACACCTGAGGGATGCACAATGAGATCAAGCTGGCCATCTGTCCATCACAAAGCAACACTGCCCCACTAAAGTCATCCACAGGTGAAGTTATAAAGGACCAAACTAACTAGATGGAATGTTAGGTAGAACATTATTCAGAGTTTGATGCCAGAGAGACAGGGGACACAGAAAACTTTTAACATACTTGAGGCTGCCACAGTGTCCAAACTTGATGCTAAGCCCACCTTTGAGTAAAAAAAAAGACCCAGGAAAAGATAACATTCCCATTGAACTCCTCAAATGTGCCAAGAGTACCCTCAATCCAGAGTAGCATGGAATCCTCCTTCAGTGTTAGAGAGGAGACAGCATACCACAAGACATGATGGATACCAATATTGTCACCAACTACGAGAACAAGACTGACAAAGAATGACTGTAACAACTGTAATCTCCCTTCTCAACACTGTGGGGAAGCTATTTGCATATGTTGCCCTGAAGAGGCTCCAAGTTCTTGCAGAAAGAGTGTACCCTGAATGTCAGAGCTGAACAGTTCAGATATGGTTTTCTCCTTTAGAGAAGCGCAAGAAAAGTGGAGGCAGCAGAATAAATCAGCATACATTGTCTTCATTGAACTGACCAAGCCGTTTAACCTGATGATCAGAAAATACCTCTTTGAGATCCTGGCTAAGATTGGCTGCCCCCAAATTCTGCTTAGTATCATCAGGTCATTCCATGAAGACACAAAGTGGAAGCATTGTGTACAGCAGCTCCACATCCAAGCCCTTCAACATTCTCAGCAGGGTAAGGCAGAGATGTGTCCTGGCAACAAGAAAGTTTGGCACCGGTTTTGCAGTTCTGCTCAAATTGTGTGTGGAACTGCCACAGAGGCCATCTTTCTTCACATAAGATTAGAATCTCTTCAAATTTTAAAGACTAGAGAAGAGCAGACAAGACAAGAGCAGAGACCAAGGTGCTGATGAAATGCCTCAGAGATTTCCTTTTATCCCAACAATGTAGCTGTCCCCATTTATACTCAGCAGGCACTGCAGCTGCTCATGACACACTTTGTAAATACTTACAAGAAGTTTGGCTTGAAGATGACACAGGTGATAGGTCATTGACATTGAGCCATCTATCAGCATTTGTGACTATGAACTGGACTTTTCCCATGGGTTTGTATATCTGTGCTTTATATTCTCAGACAAAATGTCACTTGAATGCAAAATCAATAAGTGCATTGGAAAAGCTGCCACTCACACCCAGCATTTTGCAGTTGCCCACAAGGAGTCTGGCCTTGATCAATTTGAAAAAGAAGACACAGGTGATAGGTCAAGACATCGACATTTAGCCTCCTATCAGGATTCTCAACTACAAAGTGGATGTTGTCCATGAGTTTGCGTATCTGGGCTTAACAATCTCAGACAGCCTGTCACTTGAAAGCAAGATCAACAAGTGCATTGAAAAAGCTGCTACAATATTTGCAAGGCTAAATAGGGAAGTCTGGGCTTAAAACAAGCTTATTGTGTTCAGTGGGCATGTTTCAAGCCCAGACTTTCCACATCTTTCCATGTAATGCACAAATAAGATCTCCATTCTTTTCTGTCAGCTGGGAATGTCACAGTAAATATGGCAACTCCAAAGCTTAAAATTCAATTGAAATTTATTATAAACACATTATTCAGTAAATAGTACTTTGCCAAATAAGAACTCTTTTGAATTAGATATAATCTCTATTGGGTCATTTTATACATATTTTAAATACTTATAATTATATATTTGATCATACAGAATTGTGATCTATTAATGTAGTCCTTGCTCACCTATGAATTTACAGATTTTATAGTTATAGATATTATAGTAGATTGTTTTTTACATTTACATTGTAATCAAAAAACATTATTTCATTGTTTAACCATTATGGTGTTTTAAAGAGCATTCACTAATTAAAGAGCTTAAAGAGATTTCAACAACCTCTAGGTTAATTATTTTTCAAACTTTTTTTTTTAAAAGGTAATGACACAAATTTAAAAAATGACTGACAGATATAGACATTAATACTGTTTTATTGCAATAATTTGTTATTTTGCAGTTAAGTTCTTTGATATGTATGTTTTCTGCTCCACAGGAGCTAACATCGTTCCTGTCCAAAGAAAAACAAGTATCTCCAAAATGGTCAGTTTACAGGAGAGGGCAAAAACACTCTTACCTTTCAATGTAAGTTAATGTAAAAAGGTTTCATTCCAAGTGATTTTTGAGCATTTCTATTTGTCCAATCATCAATCAATCAACAATCAATAAAATTTTCACATGACATAAAGGACAGCTGGAGTGTTGAAATGTTGTAGAAAAATAAAAATGGACAAAAATGGAGATACATGGTTTTCTTTGGACAGCGACGATATGTTTGTAAAATTAAAAAAGAAAATACTGCTTTCCCTTATAATATAGGCTTACTCTTGGTAATTCTACCAAATCATTAAATATAATGTAATTTACAGCTCAAAGAAATTGGTCTAATTAGTTTTATAGCACTTTAAAGGGCACTGTAATTCGTTTGAAAGTATGCTAAAAAGTATTAAGTTTAACAGTAATTTTACCATAGTATGAAATACAGCAGCTTTCTTGGATAATTGTTGCCATTAAGTTACTAATATTTTAACAATAAACCTTTACAGTGTGTGAAGAGCAGAAAAGTTTAAAACAGTTAAGAGGAGGGAAATCTATTTGAATATTATAAATAACTAAATAAATAAACATAACAAAATAGATACGTTTGTAACGGTTATTGCAATTTTAATCTGATTATGACTCTGATTAGTATTGCTTAAACTAAAGTAGGTTAGCGTAACTTGGATTTTGTTTAAAGTCTACAGACCAATGCAAGGAAGAGACAGACACTCGTGCCGAGGATGCTTTTATCAAAGTAACTTTATTGGCTAGATATGACACTACGACTGGATAACTTGGTTAATAGACAAAAGGAAAGAAATAAAAACAAGGGGGAAAGAAATAAAAACAAGGGAATGGCTCAGGCAATGTAACTTATTTCACAGTGTAAAGTGGTAGGCAGAAGTGGTGGAGGTCACTCCTTGGGAAGAGACTCGGTCCTTACGGACAAAGGATCTATAGGGCCACTTAACCTAACTAGCATATATCTAAAAGGGGAATTCTTATCAAATGAAATAGCGTCGAACCTTGACTGCACAAATGAAAGATAGCCAGCCTTACTCTGAAGTCGAGAGACAGGACTGCAGCTCCTCTGAGATGGGTCGCTTGAGGATTGGCTGGAGTTTGCACGCGGGGCGTTCCTTCGCTGGCCCTGGAGTCTTGGTGGGACTTCACCCAGGCGTGGTTTCTCTGCAAGCGCCTTCACAGGGACTTCCCCCTTTGTTCCCTCTAGACTTGAAAGGCTTAGTTAGATTAAACCCACAGTTTCAGATCATTGAATTAAGCACCTAAACCACACTGACAAATCCTAACATTTGTGCATCAGCCTACAGTTTTCCTCCACATTACCTGAAACAACTATTATAAAGGTAGAAATAGTCTTACAGGTAACCCTTTAGGATGTCTTTCCATGGCAGGGGATTTAACACAGTAAAATCATCACTTCAAAGAATAAACAAGTAAAATCAAGTAAAAGAGGATAGTGAGATAGAGGGATAGATATAATACATGAAAAGAAACTCTAGGTGCATACTTAGTGTTCTAAAATCACTACTTAAATGGTTATTTTAGTAACTTTCAGACAGTTATCCTACACATTCCTAACGTCTGGTAAAATAAAGGAGAATACACACTTTAAGTCACTGGGTACACAAATACAAGCACCATCTCTTGAAGATTGGATAGTGTTGATAGTCAAACATGCATATCAATGAGTGTTCCTGGGGTCCTTTGTGGGCAACAGTCCTTACGGTGGTGATGTGGTACTTCATGTTTTCGCACCTTGGGGTGCTGTGGGTCCATGTTTGAGGTCCTCAGGGGAATTTTTAGAAAGTCTTAGATATTCAGTTCCGACTGTCATAACAGTTCTGTTTTTGGTATGTCTGGTTTAGTTAAAATAAAATAAGTCCTAATTGAAGAAACCCGGATTTATTTGAAGTCTACAGACCAGGGCAAGGGAGAGAAACGCTCGCACCAAGGATGCTTCAGAAAAGGGAATTTATTGGCGAAATATCAAACTACTTTTGGACTACATTCAATGATAAACAATAGAAAATGAAACCAGAAAACCAAACAAAACAAAGTGATAGTAATGAAAGACAAAATAGCTCAAGTAAGCTAAGAGTGATTCACGGCTAAATGGTATGAGGCAGTGTGGTTTGGGGAGTCGCTTGGGAGAGCCTCTAGAGATTTAACTTAAGCCTGGACGGGAATAACTATATGGCTGGATGTACCGGGCCCTGACTGCAAATTGATGGTTCCAGCTTACGTGGGAGTCGGGGGCTGATTTCAGGAGGGGTCGTCACAGGACAGACTCGATCGAAGGCTGGAGCTCACGTGGTGGTTCCTCTCCTAGCTGGCCGTGGATGCTGCGTCTCCGTGTGGGCACGTGCCTTTCCGTCAGTGATTGGGCGGAGGCGTCTCGTGGTCGTCTGACAGTGGAGCTTGGGCGGCCTTTCGAGGGTCGATCTGTTCACAGATCAGTGCGTGGCTCTGGGTGCGATGCTGGGTCTCCGTGGCGTCTGAACCTCTCCTACTCCGCTGGCGAGGTTCAGGTTGCAATCAGGGTTCTGAGGCTGGTGGTACCAATTTAACTAACTACCTCTCTTTAGCAGAATCGAAAGTTATGGATATATTCTCCCGGGCCAGACAAGAAATATCCACCTTCCTTCTCTGAGGGTGGTTCAAACTTAAGGTGTGTAGACGAACAGGCAAGTTACAAAACAAACAAAGGTTTCAGATCTGCAAATTTAGCATCCTAATACTTCTGACCTGTCTTTCTGACCGAGGCCGGCACAAACTTAGAAACTTTTGTTGCGAACGCAGGAGCTCCCGAAATTTTGCGGTGCACTCTAGTTTTGCTCGGCTGGAGGCCCTACCCTTTGGAGGTGGTGCCAGAGTGCTGATAGGTTGACTAGCTTGTTTCTCACTCTGATTGGTTGTGCATAATTTGAGGAATACCTTCCCCAAAATCACTGCCTCCTTTGTTTCAGCTAGTTTAAACAAAGAAAAAGAACATTTCTATATCATCCAATTGGTTTAACTTTCAAAATCAAGGAATGAACAATTAGGATATTCAGGCATGTTTCTAAGAGAGAGTTTAACCCTTGTTACCTGATACACAATACATGTCAAAGAACACAGGTACTATTTGCCTATCATCTCTGAACATGACCCATTGCATGAAAAAAATAAAATCAACAAAAAGGAAAGGAACAAAGGAAGAAACGAAAAGAAAACCACATTCAGGATACATATTGGTCAATGGTCTAAACTCATAGCAATTAAATGGTTGGGTCTGACTGTTATCAAGGTTATACTCTACGTATTTCTAGCACTTAACGATAGAAAAAGATACAGGTAATATTTAGGTACTACCCGATAACAAGATTAATACCACAAGTAGTATTACTTACAGATCATAGAAACGTCGATAATCAAGTAAACAAAGCACAAAGTTTCTGGCTTCTTATAAGCACAAGTCCTTATGGTGGTGATGTGGTAATTTGCGGTTTCACCCCTTGCTGTGGGTCCATGCTTGAGATCCCTAGGGAATTTAGAAAGTTGGAATTTTGCCGTCCAAAGTCGTACAAATTCCATTTTGGTATGTCTAGTTTAGTTAAAAAGAGTTCTAACGAATGGTTGCAGTATGCAGTGGACATATACCTTAGAACTGTACTTTCTGTTACTTAAGATAAAAAGTTGTCCACAGTGCTTTGGAGAGGCATCTGCCACATTCCAGAGCAAGTGTCCTGTTTTTCTGCTGGGTGAAGGGAGAGGACTGCTGGTTCTTGATTCGGTTGTAAATTCTGCTAAGTCTGGGTTGGGGTATCAAGCTTGACAGATTTACACCTCCAATCAGTCTTGCTGGAGCCAGAAGGCCCTTAACTTTGGGTAAACACTCAGCTAGAGTTGAAATTCCAGCCATTGTTCGCTACACATTTTAAGAATTAAATGAATAGTGGCATATAAAACCTAGTACAGATCAAATTAGTCAAAGTAAGTTGACAAATTTTAAAGTGAACATTACCTTTTTTTTTTTTTACAGTTTAGAAAAAACAAGTATAACACAACTGTATGAGGTTTTCAGATATATACATTTCTTACTTTTATAAAATCTGAGCTGAATGCCATCCACCCTGGCTACCTTAGGTATTATCATACTTAGACTTTGCTTTGAAAATCTGTTTCTTTGTATGAGGCTTTGTGTGTATTTATAATTTTAGCTCACAGCTCCATCAGGCTGGTTGGTTCTGGGGGAGACTGTGCAGGAAGGCTGGAGGTTTTCCACAGTGGCTCATGGGGGACAGTGTGTGATGACTTGTGGGATATTAAGGATGCGCAGGTGGTCTGCAGACAGCTGCAGTGTGGAGTGGCCCTCAGTGCTCTGGTACCAACCCAGTTTGGACCTGGAACTGGACCCATATGGCTGAATGAGGTGGAGTGTGAGGGGAACGAGACATCCCTGTGGAACTGCAAATTTCAGCTGTGTGGAGAGGATGAATGTGGACACAAGGAGGAAGTAGGAGTCGTGTGCTCAGGTAAAGTGTGATGACAACTGCTGTTCTTGGATTTTTAAGTGTATTCATTTATTTTTAAAGTGTTGATTTATATTCAAACATCTAAGATTAGCATAGGCAGTGTTTGAACATGCACCTTATTGTTACTGTTATTAAAGGAAACCTTGTGTCTCTGAAGTGGTTACTCAAAAAAAAAACATCCATTAATTTAATTTAAAAAAAAAGGAAAAATGTATCTAAAAGGTTTCAATTAGTCCATTCACATTAAATGTTAACACAATGCAAAGGACACATATTCACAAATGCCATTAAGAAAGTTAATTAAATATTTATGTGAAAATGCATTCCTAATTTGCTTTTTTGAATTTAAAACATTACACTATGTTGACTCTGAAATACCTGCAATATGTAATATAAAGCATCTTTCTCTCACCAGAGTTTAAAGAGATCAGACTCACAGAGGGCTGTGAGGGGAATCTGGAAGTGTTCTACAATGGAACCTGGGGTAATGTGTGTGTAAATGGGATGGATGAAGAAACAATAAGTTTGATCTGTCAAGAGCTGAACTGTGGAAGATCAGGCAGTTTGAGCCAAACCAAAGCAAGAGTGGAATCAGCTCCTAACTGGCTGGATGATCTGAAATGTAGGAAACACGACTCCACTCTGTGGCAGTGTCCATCTTCACCCTGGGGACAGAACCAGTGTGATAATCACAATGAAGTGGCTCAGATTACCTGCTCAGGTAGGCAGTTCAGTTTTATTATTTATTGTAAGTTTTATTACACACTTCTATAACCTAAGAGATTTTAAGGGATATAAAACATCCGCCGCTCCATCACATTTACCATGAGTAGATTTTTTTAAAAATAAAAGTAGACATAAAGAGGTGAAGTGAATGAAACTGGCAGAAAATGTTCAAAACTTAAAAGTTAAATGTCTCCAAAGTTAAATTTGTAAGTGAAACAGATCAGTGGTTTATAAAGAAAGTCTTTTTCCACACTCTCAGGGGATGGAGAAAGCCTTGCACTGCAAAACCATCTGAAATGCTCCTCATTTCGTAACCAAAGACAGTGCTCAAGTAAGTACACCTAACAACACAGTTCAGTATTTAAGTCTTAAGTGTTCATGCACTCCAAAGATTAGTCCACATCAATAATTTATGCAGTAATTTGTTTTACTGTCAGACTCATCTAAGCTTCAATTCTGTAACTGTTTACCCCAGATATTCCTTGACATATTAAAAGTACTTAATAATTAATTGATAAATAAATTAATTAATCAATTAATTAATACAGACTTATTTATAATTGATATATAGTTATTGATTGTTGTGCTGCAGTAGTTAAACTTTTGTGCTGTATCGTGTGATGTGTGTGATGTAGATCACCTGCCTCTCAGGCTGAGGGGAGGAAAGGGAAGCTGCTCTGGGAGGCTGGAGGTGTATCATAACGCTGAGTGGGGGTCTGTCTGTAATGATCTGTGGGACATCAGAGATGCTCAGGTGGTCTGCAGGCAGCTGGGCTGTGGGTTGGCGCTGAGTGCTGATGGGAGTGCTGTCTTTGGTGCTGGTGAAGGGCCTATCTGGCTGAGCAGAGTGAAGTGTAGAGGGAATGAGATTCACCTGTGGGACTGTCCTCATTCCCTGAAGAACCACACTGACTGCTCCCACAGGCAGGACGCTGGAGTCACCTGTGCAGGTCAGAGGAGTCTGATAACTTTCAGGGTTGTAGATCAAACCAACATTTTACTCCTGGAGTTTTTTTCAAGGCAACCACAATTCTTTTTATCATGTCTATTTATTTTACAGTATAGACAATAAAGGTAAAGAATAAAGAACAAAATACAACCAACATTATGAACAGAACACAATGTGCAGAGAATGTTAAATAGCCTAGAAAGGGCTTGTACAAAGTATGAAAAAGGAAGGTTAAAAAAGGAAATAATTAATAAAAAAACATTTAAAAAACAGACAACACAAACATCAAAACAAATGTGTATCTAATCTTTAATTACTACGTAGTTACTCATTAACAATGCATGTAACAGTAATGTAACTTGTGATGTGTTCTTGTCATGTTACATGACCATGTCACAACACAAGCATACTACTTTAGCTAGCAGTGTCAGTGATCACATAGTGTAGGTAATTGCACAATTGCTGTTACAATCAGAAAAGTCTTCTTAGATTATGTAAATATGTGTAAAAAAAAAAGTTTGTTAGTATAAAAGGAGATGACTTTTAATCTGTTTTTGAGGCTGATAAGACCAGTTTTTATATGAGGTGATAGGCAGTTCTACATTGAAAGTCCACAATGAAAGAGTATAAAACAGAGGTGCTCAGTCCTGGTCCTGTAGATCTTTCTTCCTGCAGAGTTCACATTCAACATATCTGGAGCACCTGTCAGATAATCAGATGCACCTGAAAGCCTTCAATACCTGGATCAGGTGCGATAAATTCCATGATGAGTCCATCTGTTTCTGTGCTTTGTTTGTTATCCCACCTTTACTGCTTTCATCAATGCTCAGGACCTCCACAAGACCACCACATAGCAGGTGTTTTTTGGGTGGTGGATCATTCTCAGCACTGCAGTGACACTGATGTGGTGGTGGTGTGTTAGTGTGTGTTGTGCTGATATGAGTGGATCAGACACAGCAATGCTGCTGGAGTTTTCAAACACCTCAGTGTCACTGCTGGACAGATAACTAACCAAAAACATCCAGCCAACAGTGTCCTGTGACCTCTGATGAAGGACTAGAGAATGAATATTACAAACCGTGCAGCAGCAGATGAGCTATCTTCTCTGGCTTTACATTGATAGACCATAGACCAACGAGGTAGGACTGTCTAATAGAGTGGACACAGTGTTCAAAAACTCCAGTAGCACTTCTCTGTCCAATCCACTCATAACAGTGCAACACTCACTAACATGCCACCTCTATGTCAGTATCACTGCAGTGCTGAGAATGATACACGATCCAAATAATGCCTACTCTGTGGTGGTTCTTTGGGGGTCATGACCATTGGTGAATGGGGTAATGGTTGGATAAATTATGCAAAGAAGCAGATGAACTGCAGCCTGTAATTGTAGAACCACAAATTGCATCTATTTGGTAACTGAAGTTGACAATGACAAAGGATTGTGCTCAGTGGGGGTCGCTAAACCTGGGTTGCACTGTGCATCAATATACATTCTTGATTATTCTTAAAATGAAAGATAATATTAATCTGGAAAGCAGCTGCATTATATTAGTAGTCAGGCTAAGGCCCTACTGTTATATGTCATTGTAAGAGAGTTTGAGGTTGTAGCCCTCTTGTTCCAATACAGCTTTTATAGGTCACTTGTAAAACTTCTAAAGAGTTTATGAGTAATAGATATAAAGGCTAATTACAATCTAGAATTATAGCTGTATTTATCACCATACTTTTAAAAAACGTTCTTAGATATTTGTTTGGTTATCTTTTATGTTTCTTATCATGAAAGGCAGAAGTGAGGGCAAAATACAGGCTATGTTGAACTCAGTCATGAATGAGCTATATTGAGTGAGGCTGAAGATTTAGGGTCTTTTGGAGAAGAGAAGGGCCGTCCTGGAAGCAGTTCAGGAGTTACCCTACTCGGCAAATGCAGCATGTCCTTCTGGTCTCAGCACTGAGCCCAGGGAGGCACAGGATGCAAGGCAATGGGACCACTCAAACTGCAATCATTTCCAGTCTACAAAATGTGTCACTCTGTCCATGACAAAGATTTGATTAGATTAGATTCAACTTTATTGTCATTGTGCAGAGTACAAGTACAGAGGCAATGAAATGCAGTTAGCATCTAACCAGAAGTGCAAAATACAGCATTATTTATATATAAAGTGCACGAGGTAACCGTGGTAAGTGATGCTGTGGTTACAATATGTACAATTGAGGATGGTATAAATATAATATACAGTATGCAGAGTAAAACATGTACACTAACTGCCTGTCCAAATACCAATAGTCCAGTAATAGACTGGGTAAATATGAATAGTGCAATAATACCAGGACATAAAGTACAGTAACAGTGCAGTGAGTGCAAAGATGCAGTTAAAGTGACGGTGTGGAGTTCAGCAGGGTCACAGCCTCAGGAAAGAAGCTCTTCAAGAAGCAGTTTTCACCACCCGCTGGAGCACTTTGCGGTCAGATGTGGAGCAGTTGCCGTACCACAGTGAGATGCAGTTCATGAGTATGCTTTTAATGGTACAGCAGTAAAAGTCCACCAGTATTCCAGGACACAGGTGAGCTTTCTTGAGGCTCCGTAGGAAATAAAGACACTGTCGCGCCTTTTTGACCAGGAAGGAGGAGTTTAAAGACCAGATGAGATCATCTGAGATGTGGATATCAAAGAACTTGAAGTCAGACAAGTGCTCTACCTCAGCTCCGCTGATGTAGATAGAGGAGTGTGCCTGGCTCTTACCCCTCCTGTAGTCCACTATGATCTCCTTGGTTTTCTGGGTGTTGAGCGCCAGGTTGTTATCCTCACACCATGCTGCCAGGTGCTGCACCTCATCCCTGTAGGCAGTCCCATCGTCCCCTCTGATCAGACCTATCACTGTGGTGTTGTCTGCGTACTTGATTATGGAGTTAGAGCCATGAACAGGAGCACAGTCATGGTTGAAAAGGGAGTACAGTAAAAGGTCTCTGGCCAGAGTGGCTGAAGTAAAACTGACCCTCACACCAGATTAGTTTGTTCTGAGTTCTCATTTCTGATGCTGCAATCTGGACTAGTGGTACTCTGATGGGTATCACTGTAGTTATGGACCTCCATGGTACCAACTTCTTATTACATTTTAGTTTTGAGAGAAAAAAAAAATCTGTATACTGAAGACATCACTGTGGGAATAGGGAAACCAGTATTGTGCACTCTCTAGTACTGATATACTTCACTCTTTGCTGCTATTTTTAGGATGAATACTTTGAAGAGCTCTCTGTCTCTCTTTCTCTCTCTCTCAAAACAACAGAAAGTGAAATTCACTATAAATCTATGTTGTAATTGTTCCTGTTTTCTACAGACCTATCTGTATCACCCACTGTTACATCTGAAGTAACTACCATTACCATCACAGGTACTGTTTTTATACATTTCTGTGATTTTTGTGAGAATTTTCTTAGTGTAATGTTTCATGAAGTTTCTATTATATATTTGTATTTCCAGCTGGTCAGACAGAGAACGAAGCAGTTACTCCTCCACAAACTCCATCACCAGGTGTTCCATCCATCTATCCAGTGTCTCTCCTGGTTCTGGGTGTGCTGCTCTTCCTGGCCTTAGTGCTTCTGGTTGTGCTGTTTTACCAGAACAGAGTGCTCAGGAGAGGTAGAGATTCAGAGATCATCTACAATCCACTTTCTGTACATTCTCTAAACATCATTAGTCCTTCAGTCTGTCATCAGTCTTCTTATCTACTGAACTGGCTCCATGTTTCTTTCCCTCACAGTGCTCTCTAAGAGGAAGCATAGGACTCTGCCTGAGGCAGTCTATGAAGAGATCGATCAGAGAATCATCACTAAAAGAATGACTAAAAAGGGTAAATGATGTAAAGTATTCTACTAGATGCAGTCCTAATGAGCTCCCAGTGATTAGAGAAAATTGTCCCTTTTTATGTCTCCCTAAAAATGCTGGCGTTAGTAATCATGAAGGTTGTGAGAATTCCTGGCTAACATTGGTTGAGCTGGTTGCTGCAGCCTGGGAAGATTTCATGTAACAAGTAGCAAGAATGTTGAAGGTTAAGAGCTTCCTAAAGTTCCTAAAGAGATAACATAAATAAACATCTTTGTCAGTACAGTTAATTTCATAATATGTAATTAGAACTAATTGTTCCTGGAAACATGCAAGATTTCCTTCATCAAAGGAAACATGAATGGAGCAGTATACCAGAACATATTAGAGGACAATTTAATCTCACTGACCAAGAAAGTTGAGAACGTGGATAATTCAACTAAACAATGACCCCAAACATACAGCCAAAATAAGTCAAGGCTAATTGCACGGCCTAGCCAAACTCTCAAACTTGAATCTCACTGGAAATGTACGGAGAATGTTTACGTTTTGTGTCCAACAGAGGAGGACTTCGTATCTTTGGGTAGTTAAAGCCGGTTTGCAAATTAAAATTGTCCAAAATTAAACCACTGTGCTGTAATGCAGTGCTGAATACTTTTTTCACTTTTTATGCTTTTGAATACGTATTTTTTGTTCACATATAAAAGTACAAAAAGACATTATATGTGTTAAATAACAAAAAATAAGGTGTCTGAATATTTGTTTCCCCCTTAGTTTTAAATCCAGATATAAAAACACAATAAAACACTCACAAATGTCACAGCCAAGTGTATATTTGTAGTGATCTAGAGAGGTAAATTCTCAGGTTGTACAGCTCTGACCTTACTAAAAACAGAAAAATCAAATCTATGTCAAATCAAATCAACTATAATTTTTCTAGATTTGAGAGGCCTAAATGCTCTCACACCTACTTAGTGCTTGAGTACGAGCCCCCACTGAGCATCATAGATCTAGTCCTAATTGATAAAACAGGTAGTGTTGTATAGAATTCAATATATATATATATATATATATATATTTATATATATATATATATATATATATATGGAGAAGGGCAATGCAAATTACTGACAGGATTGTTATTTAGCATTAGTATGTAGCATAATAGCGGTCATTGTTTAGTAATAGCTGGCCAGCTTAGTTGCTGCAAGAGAAGAAAATGATAACAACGAAGATGTGAGATACTAAATCAGCAGTTAAATAGTCTTGTTTTCTGTTACTTCGTAATACATT